TTTTTGATCTTTTTCTTTTTCTCTTCATTAATTTATGTCTCTCACATTTCTTTTCTCCTTCCTCTAATCCTATTTGTTCTTCTACTTTTCATCTTTCTCCCTCATTTAAATATTTTTGCTTTTCTGCCAACCAATTCATTCTTCTTCTTTTTCGATTCCTTCTCTCATTTTCCATTTTGATTATTTAAATTCTCTTCATTCTTCGTTTGTCCTTTCCTTTTACGTTTCTTTATTATCAACAATTTTTCAATATTTTTTTGCTTCTTCATTTTTGTCATTCTTTATTTTCTTATCCCTATTCTTTTTTCCTCACTGCACCTATATTTGCATTTTCCCTTCTTCTTCTTCTTCTTCTTCTTCTTCTTCTTCTTCTTCTTCTTCTTCTTCTTCTTCTTCTTCTTCTTCTTCTTCTTCTTCTTCTTCTTCTTCTTCTTCTTCGTCTTCTTCCTCTTCTTCTTCTTCGTCTTCTTCTTCTTCTTCTTCTTCTTCTTCTTCTTCTTCTTCTTCTTCTTATTATTATTATTATTATTATTATTATTATTATTATTATTCCCTCTCATATTGTCACCGCTTCCATCTTCCTCCTAAAGTTATTATTTTAATTTTATTCAAACTTAAAACTCTTTTTTTTATTTTTTCATTCCGTTCTTCCATGTATTCGTTCGTGTTTTCCTTCCTAGCTTCAACTTTTTTTAAAGAAATTTTTATTGCGAAGCAAAATTTTAATTATTTTTTCTTTTTCACCATTTTCTTTTTTTTAACAATATATCGATTTAAGTAAAGATTCATGTTTAAGTATTTTAAATATTTTTCAAAATTTTATCTTTTAATGTTACTTTTTCGCTTCATGTCATATAGTTTACTTCATATATGTGTATAAATATTAAATAGCAAAAAAAAATTAACTTGCGGCAAAAATGAATAAAAGCAAATAAATTTTTCTCGATTAAAAAAAAAGTAAAAGATTTTGAAAATAGCGCGGTATTCAATAATTCTTCTCCTTAAAACAACAAAATATCAGAATTTAAAAATATATATATATAAACGTACACAGCATACTTTTAATATTTAAAAAATCATTTTTAAAATTATTTTAAGAAATACTTCAACATTCTAGAATTTATCTCCTTCAATTTGTAAAAGATAAAAACAAACACACGCACAAATAAATGTTATATTTTTAATTGAAAAAAATTAAAAATGATTTTTAAAAATAAAGAACATTCTACAGCTGGTTTCTTTCAATTTAAAAACAAAACCAAAGACAAAACAAAAAACAAAAACAAAACTAGATATTTTTTAATTTATAAATTAAAAAAATAGTATTTTCGCAAAAATAAAAAAAAGCCTTACTGAACATTCTAGAATTTATCTCCTTCAATTAATTCATCTACAATTTCGTCTGCTGTTCTCTACGTTTTTAATTTCCTTTGTTATCGATTAATCACTCCTGCTAAAACTATGTCACGCGCACTGTTACTCTTACAGCTTCGTTTATCATATTTTATTCAATAGTCAGTGCCAGAATCCGCCATCTTTGTCCGCCTTGTGCTGACAGCGTCCGCCATTTTAATTGTTTAGAAAATTTTTTGACTTTGTTTAAAATTAAGATAGAGAAAAAGAACGGGCGAGTGTTAGAAGAATTTATGAAAGACTATGTGTAAATAAAAGTAAAGCCTAGTTAATGATAAATCGTTAAGCTTAAAAGACATTTTGCATGTGAGAAAGAATAAACGGAGTTAATAGTAGTAATAGTAGTAGTAGTGTGCTAGCGATAATATTATTCTGACGGTAAGGACTATAATAATAATAATGATTATGAAGCCATAACAATAAAATAACAATTTGATTATAACAATATCCAACACAGCAAAGGCAGCTACAATTATAATTAAAAAAATAAACACCATATAATGATACTAGCATCTTAATATATTTCAAATACAACGAGACTTTCTATATTTATCACTCAAGCTACCTGATCTCCTTACTAGAATATTATGTTGTTACTGAGGCACGTGGTATTCAAGCATCAGTCAACGCCACTCGAAGTGAACTTGCCTCATGCTACCATAACAAAGCAATACCTTTTTACTAGATAGTTTGACCACGTTGTTAATACATTGCTTTTTTATTTTTTAATATTTTTATTTTTACTGATTAAAACATCATAATGATTTCTTTGTTATCAACACTTTTCAACAGGTGGTTGTAATCAAGGGAGACAAATTTGAATAAGTGATTGAATTGTTTGGCGTTAAATGAAATCTAAATTTTGGAAATAACATGTGTCAATAGAGTTAATAGTTATATAATAATCCGCATATAGAAAGCGTAATGCATATACCGAATAATGTCCGGCTAGTCGTTTTCAGGCATACCCGTTTGATAGGGCGACTAGTCCATCATTGCTGCAGACGCTTGCTCAAGCACATCTATTTTCTGTTCAACATCCACACATTTATACTGCGCAAACTTTAACTGCAGATTCTGGGAGAGAGCGCATAATTGGGCGTGTTCAACAGTTTGAAAGAGAGCAGTACACTGAAACCTTGGCATCTCGTGGTAGTACAACCACCGACGTGGTTACTATTTTCCTAATTTTCCTCAAGGCCTATGGTATAGTTTTCGGGTACTTTCCATAGGTGCTGAATGCTTGGATTGTGTCTCAAAAGGTCACCTTCCTGATGAATCGAACATGTTGGGATTTAAACCTAGTTCTCAGGACCGTTAAGCGAACGCTCCAACCACTCGGCCACTCAAAGATGGCGCGCTTTGTATGTATGACGTCACAAATTCTCATCATTCCTCTTTTGATGGAAATCCGAATTATGTATGAGGAATTGAAAGCAAAAAAGATAAAATGAAGGCAAACTGTAATAAAGGGAATTGTGTTCAAATAAGACAAAGAGACTAAAAATGAAGAGAAGGAAATGATTTAAATGTTTTGAGATATAAATGATAAATAATAAATACTAATAATAATTACAGGTAGAGGAAAAATATGAAGAACTAAATAATGAAAAAAAAACAGGAAAAAGAAAGAAAGAAAGGAAGAAAGAAAGAAAGAAAAAAGAAAAGAGAAAAGGAAGGGGCGTAAAAGAAAGACGGAAAGAGACAAGAAAAAATGCGATGAACAGAGAAAAGAAAGGAGTAAAAAGAAAAGGAAGGAGTAAAGAGAAAAAGAAAGATGCGATGAAAAGAAAGGAGAAAAAGAAAGAAAGAAAAAGAAAAAGGAAAGAAAGATGCGATGAAAAGAGAAAAGCAAGAAGGAAAAAGAAAAGACAAAAAGGAAAGACAAAAGATGCGATGAAAGGATAAAAGGAAGAAGAAAAAGATAAGATAAAAAAGAAAGATGTCAGCTAGAAAGAAAAAAAAGATTTGTAGAAAGGAAAATGATATATTAAAAAGTATATAAAAACCAGAAAGAATAAAATCCAAATGAAAACCAACAAGTAAAGCGAAAATTAAACAAAGGGGGGCAACATTTTAACAACGGAAGCAAAATTAATTCGATATCCCAAATGAATCACAAGACACAATGAGAACAACAGAAAAATTCCATAACGAAAACCTTAAATTTATCTTTCCATAAAAGTGTATTTCAACTTCGTTCAATATCATATATCATTCAAGCAACCATATCTTCTTTCCAAATGCTCGGACACACTGATGGACGTACAGATCCAAAAGGAAAGTATAAAACCGGAAGAGGATACACTTCACCTTGCACTTACCAAGGACCCTTTCACTTATGTCTCATTTGTAATTAAAACTGCAAGTCATTGTTACAATAAATCAAAATGCATTAACGCTGAATTCAAGCAGGCAGCCTAGATAAATACTTTGAGTAAACAAAATCCGAATAAGTTGTTCGCGTGTAACAAATAAATCACTAAACATTGTCGCATCGTTTGAGGACGTGTTGTACGTAAATCCACATTAGAATTATTTTTTTGTTTAGTTTGCAAATAACAGTGCTTTATGCAACATAGATCATTCTCGGTGTGGGGCTAATTTAAAATGCGTTATTATTACTAAATATACATATCTATGTTTGTATATCTAGATGTTTAACTCGACTGATGATGATTTTTATTAATATGTTCAATATTAAAACTTTTTGTCTGGAAAACTCCCTTCACCGTGTTTAGAAAAATCAAGTTAAGAGTTAAGCAGTTCATTAACTAACCTATCAAAATTTAAGAATTTTTATTAAATCCCTGTCGTGATTTGCCGTTTATATTCTAATACATGCATACACACACACACACACACGTGCGTGTGTGTGTGTATGCATGAATGTATGTATATAATTGTGCATTTGGGTAGCAAACCTTCTTTTATACAGATTTCATTAAATAGGACTGTCAAGGTATACAGAAGTTTGAATTTTTTTATTTCATTTTTCTTGTTCTTATAATGTTCTTCTTTTCTGAGCATGTCAAGAAATTTCTAAGAACACAAGAAAAATTAAATCAAAAATAGTTATTTCTGTTTTTATATTTCTTCTTCCCCTCTTCTTTTCCCAGACCTTTCTCTCTTGCTCTGATTCTCTCTCTCTCTCTCTCTCACACACGCATACATGCACACACACACACACACACACACACACACACACACACACATACACACACACGCACACACACACACATGCACACACACACACACACACACACACACACACACACAGAGTTACGCACAACCCTAACCCTTAACCTTGGGCTTCACACGAGACATTTCACTCAAGTGAGAAATGTCTTTACATTTTTAGATCTTTTCTGTTGTCATTTCGTTTCTCTGTGATTTTTTGTTTTAAATAAATTCACCTCAAGCAAGGCGATAATGCCACTAAGATGCAAGGGGGTGCTACTGGAACTGAAAGAGAATGAGAAGACTTTAGAAAGAACCGGAAACCCAATCTTAAACAGGAAAGAAAGCAAAAAAAGACCGGAAGGAGTGTGAACCAGAAGATAGATTTCACTTGTGATTTCTATCTAATGGCTTCATTCTACTCTTTCCACACTAATGTCTTTATTTTTGGGTCGTTACTCAATCAATCAATCTCTCTCTCCCCCCCTCTCTCTCTCTCTCTCTCTCTCTCTCTCTCTCTCTCTCTCTTGGCTTCTCTAAATCTCTCAATTTCTTTCTCTTTTCCTCATATCTCTCATATCTTCACTCTCGTCTTTTTCCATCTGTCTCTTTCTGTTCAACTCTCTCTCTCTCTCTCTCTCTCTCTCTCCCTTCCTCCCTCCCTTGGCTTCTCTAAATCTCTCAATTTCTTTCTCTTTTTCTCATATCTCTCATATCTTCACTCTCGTCTTTTTCCATCTGTCTCTTTCTGTTCAACTCTCTCTCTCTCTCTCCCTCTCTCTCCCTTCCTCCCTCCCTTGGCTTCTCTAAATCTCTCAATTTCTTTCTCTTTTTCTCATATCTCTCATATCTTCACTCTAGTCTTTTTCCATGTCTCTTTCTGTTCAACTCTCTCTCTCTCTCTCTGTCTGTCTCTCTCTCTCTCTCTGTGTCTCTGTCTCTGTCTCTCCCTCTCCCTCCCTTGGCTTCTCTAAATCTCTCAATTTCTTTCTCTTTTTCTCATATCTCTCATATCTTCACTCACGTCTTTTTCCATCTGTCTCTTTCTGTTCAACTCTCTCTCTCTCTCTCTGTGTCTCTCTCTGTGTCTCTCTCTCTTTCTGTCTCTCTCTCTGTCTCTGTCTCTGTCTCTCTCTCTCCCTCTCTCTCTCTCTCATGAAGCTTGGATTTTCTCTCTGTCAAATTAGAGCATTTATCTACCCGTCTCTATATGTCTCCAATATCTCTTATGAATATAATTATATTTATAAATAAATGTGTCATGTGAATTTTAGGTAATGCTTTATTTTCAAAGGCCATGCCCTTTCGGGACGTGGATAGTTTTAACTCCATACTGATTCTTTTTCTTTAATATGTATGTATTATCATGGCTTCTTGTAAAAGATAATCGAGTGGTTTTCCTTTGCATTCTTTACGGTTTTGTATTTAGTGTCGTCTTTCTTTACGGCTGAGTGCCATCCAATGCTAGAGAGGCTATTCTACCCTACCATTTAATTTAATCTCTAGCTAGGTAGACAAGAAAGGGATTCATATCTTTCCCAAGGGTATTATTACAAAATAAACGCAACATATTAAATCTGAGCTTATATCTCTTTTATATGACCTCAATAGGTACAACCTCCTGAGCGACAAGCAGTTTGCATTTCGATCTGCCTAGTCCACTGCTGATGTCCTAACTGCGATTACTCACAGATTTAGTGAAGCACTTAAATACATCTCAAGGTCGTCCGCATTAGATATTTCAAAGACTTTTGACAAGGTGTGGCATAAGGGGTTACTGCTCAAGCTCTCTATCTATGGAGTCACTGGATGAGTCTTTTCAGTTATAAAGTCTTTTCTAATGGGTAGGCCACAGAAGGTAATTGTTAATGACCAGTCCTCCGAATTCCAGCCCATCAACGCGGACCAAGCTTAGCTTCTCGGCCATACCCTCTTCCTCCTCTAGATAAATGATCTGTCTATCATTTGTGAATATCAATTCTGACGATACAAAGGTATATGGGTGCACCTCCAAAGCCCTCGATGACCAGAGCTTGTCAGCCGACCACTCGTCTGACCTAACTCTAGCATCTCAGTGGGGAAACCTAGTTGGTCACATTCAATGCATAGACAAAACTCGCGGCCTTCCACCATCACCGGTCGGACTCTGAACTTTCATTAATCTTGATGAACGGATTTTCTCTCAGGGTGTTCCCATGACTTAACCGCACATGAGGACTTAAACTCAACCTAGACCTCAAGTGGAACTCGTACATACGATCCATTCTGGGAAAATGGTCTCTTTCCTCTACCGCTTCAGCAAGTACCTCGCCCCTCCTTCTCTCCTCTATCTTTACAAGAGCCAAATCTGAGCGAAAATGGAGTACTGTTGCCATATATGGGCAGGAACTGCTACTGTCTTCACTTTCCAGTCTCATTACAGTTCAAAAACTTCTCCGCGTTCTTATGGGTGTCGAGTTATTTTACACTTTGTAACCCTTTTCCCACAGACGAGTTGTCGCTATTCCATCTCTACTTCCATGGAGAGTGTTCAGATGAACTACATTCTTTAGATTCTCTTCTCCTAGCCTTCACGGATAAGACCCGCCATGTCAAGCACATTCTAGCGAAGAACCCTCATTCCCTGATGAGATGGAAATTCCACTCAAGCAAATTCATTCCACGAAACACTGCCTTGTTGATCCGACTACCAAGAGACTGCTTTTCCGATCACTAAAATCTTAACGTGTTCAAGTCTAGAGTTAACCGTTATCTTCTGTACCTATCCCTATAATAAGTGTCATTCCTGGAGGGCCTGTCTACGAAACTCTGGATTCCGAAGGTAACATCAATCAGCAGTGACAAAACTAGTACTTATATATATATATATATATATATATATATATATATATATATATATATATATATATATATATAATCGATTTAAATTTAAACTTCCCAGCATCCACTCTCTTTCGTGCGCATGTGCAGTTTCATCAACATAAAACATATACAATCACTATAGTCCGATGAAGTGATAAATCACGAAACACGATTTCCACTCTGCGATAGTTTTCCCTAATCCTCCCTCCTCTCTCTCTCTCTTTCTCTATTTATATATATATATATATATATATATATATATATATATATATATATATATATATATATACCTTCAGTGTAATGATTTAAGTGTAAGGTTCTCTCTTTTTCATTCTTTCTTTCTTATTTTCTTTCTTTCGACCAGTCCTTTCTGTTTTTCGACCAGTTCATTCTTTCTTTCTTTACTTATATATTTCTCTTTCTCTACTTCTTTCTTTCTTTCTTTTTATATTCCTTTTCTTTTGTTTCAATTTTTCTTCTTTCTTTCTTATTTTCTTTCTTTCTTTCTTTCTTTTTTTCTTTCTTTCTTATTTTCTTTCTTTCGACCAGTCCTTTCTGTCTTTCAACCAGTTCATTCTTTCTTTCTTTACTTATATATTTCTCTTTCTCTCCTTCTTTCTTTCTTTCTTTCTTTCTTTCTTTTTATATTCCTTTTCTTTTGTTTCAATTTTTCTTCTTTATTTCTTTCTTTCTTTCTTTCTTTCTTTCTTTCTGTCTTTCTTTCTGTCTTTCTTTCTTTCTTTCTTTCGACCAGTTCTTTCTGTCTTTCGTCCAGTTCATTCTTTCTTTCTTTACTTATATATTTCTCTTTCTCTACTTCTTTCTTTCTTTCTTTCTTTTTTTCTTTCATTCCTCTTCCCTCTACGTCTCTTGCCTTTTATTTCATCTGTCTTCACCCTACGTTTTTCTTACTTTCTCTTGTAACTTCCCTCTAGGTTTCTCTCTCATTCTTATGACATCCTTTCCCTCTATGCCCATCTTTCTTTCTTTACACGTTCTTTCTTTTTCTCTTATATATTTATTTATTTACTCTCTCTCTCTCTCTCATGTATTTTCAGTTTTCATTTCTCTTTTGATCTCTCACATTTTTAAACTGACTTTTTTTTTCACTCCTCTGCTATGTGTCCATTTTAGGCATCTCATCTATTTCACACAAGGCTTCAGTCTTACTCGCTTATGTCTCTTCCCCCAGGCCTCTCCGCCTCTCCACCTGTCTCTCTGTCTGTCATTTAAGACTCATTCTTTCATGTCTTCACTCTTTGTTTTCTCTTATGGTTTTACGACAGACTTCTCTCTCTCTTTATCTCTTTCTTTTCTCTCCTTTCCCTCTCTCTCTCTCTCTGTCTCTCGTTTTTTATATATATATATATATATATATATATATATATATATATATATATATATATATATATATATATAAAGAAAGAAAGAACAGTAAGGTATATAATCCGGTGTTCTTATAGATATTTTTTTTATTTTTACAAAATAGTGCTCAATGTAAATTTACGGAGCATTAATATTATGAATTAACTTTTAACAAAAATTCGCTTGAGGATGAAATGGAACTAATGTCTTTAATTTATTACAAAAATTAAATTCGAGCTTTTAACTTCCATTTTTGAAACATGGTTAGAACTGTGTAGAGAAAAAACATATTTTAAATCAGTTAATATATATATATATATATATATATATATATATATATATAATATTATAAATTAATTGATTTAAAATATGTTTTTTCCGCTACACAGTTCTAACTATGTTTCAAAAATGGAAGCTAAATGCTCCGAATTTAATTTTGTAATTAAATTAAAGGCATTCGTTCCATTACATCCTCAAGTGAATTTTGGAGTAACTTTTAAAATCACTGGGTTTTAAATACACAATTAAAACAAAATTCATGTTTCCAAGGTTACAGATAAATCTATTTTTCTAGACAGGGGTGTCTAGGTGTTCAATATGTCTATATTTTAATGTATCAGTTATTGTTACTTTTGGTAGTGGGTAGGGATGTATTTTTCAATGAAATCTAACTTCCGTTAAAAGCGTGTCGTCTGGATTTTTTTTTTATTTAAAATTTATATTGTTAACGGCTAAAATTCTTACGTCATTTTTTTTTTCCTACGTATATTTAACGATTTGGGGGGGGGATTTAGGTAAGAATACTTTTTATTTAACACCGATTTGAAATATTTTTACTTTTAATTTTATTATATATATTGGGGTTTCGTTATCTATTAGGGAATACATGAAATAAATATACTAAAAATAAAATTACCATGCTAGCCGAATAAAACTGCTGTTTCGTCCCGAAAGCAAAATTCATGTTATTTTCGGTAGAATTAAACACTGTGACTTTCTTGGTTATAATAGTTTTTCTTATGAGGTCAAGTTATCTTGATGTATATGGAAAATGTTCCCAGCTTAGAATTCTGTGAGGACTAATTCGCTTTCAGTGAAATATCATTGATATGACCAAGAAAAGAAAAAAACACTGTGAACCGTTGATGTAACACTGTTTTGTTGTTTCACCAGAGATATAAGAACAAACTTAAAAATTAATGTTTTTTTTTTTTCTCTCGACACAGTAAATAAACAGGAGAGCATTCTTTTCGGTCGATCGCCTTTGTTTTTCACTCTTGCATGAATAACCATGTAAAAACTACTTACATAAATATATAATATTCTTTGATGTCGACCGACAGACTCCTGTCAATATTTACGGAAAACCCACTGAATATAAAGCGAATACAGTGTAACCCGGATATAAGAGACCCGGATACAAGAGAAACCCGGATATAAGAGAGATTTTCTCTGCTCCCAAAGTGTTCCCATACTTACCTAAACAAAATACAGTGTAACCCGGATATAAGAGAGTTGTCGAGACCAGAGAAGAAGTCTCTTATATCCGGGTTTCTCTTATATCCAGGTTTGGTCTATACATTAACACAGGCTCTAATTTGGGACCAGAGAAAATCTTCTATACGGATTTCTCTTATATCCGGGTCTCTTATATCCGGGTTACACTGTAGACCAAACCCGGATATAAGCGAAACCCGGATATAAGAGACTTCTTCTCCGGTCCCGACAACTCTCTTATATCCGGGTTTCACTATATTTTCATATATACATGTACTTATATGTACTTTCTAGATACGTAATTTTTAAATTGTTTCCCAATCTGATGTATTTTTGCTCTTGTTCGTAAGAATCACTTTTATCACCAACAGCTTATCTGCTACTCTAATACATAGAAGTGATTTTTATCTAACATTCAGTGTCAATAAGCTTCCCACTAATCAGATGTCACGGCAAGAAGACAATCACCAATGTTCTATTCAAACATTTCAAATAAAACTACATCCGGCGGCAAAGGCGTCTGATCGGGAGGTTTTGAAGAGTGTGTAACCACATGTTAATTGCTATTTTTCTCAGGTTCACCCGGGGGTGATATCACTTGTTAGGCCCACAGCTATGGGCAAAATAGTAAAACCCCAAACTGGGATCAAAACATTAAAATATATTTTATAGTAATTTTATATTTAGTATATTTTTTGAAAAAAAATGACCAAGGCTCCTAAGAAAATGAAATTTCTGCATTAAATGATGTATAAGTAGTTGATATGCCGTTAAGCAAACACTCAAACAAAACATTCCAAGTACGTACACATACGCACGCACAGACACACACACACACGCATACACACAGACACACACACACTGACACACACACAGACACACACACATACACAGACACACAGACACACACACATACATACACACACAGACACACACAGACACACACACAAACACAGACGCACACGCAGACACACACATACATACACACACAGACACACACACACACACACGAAAAGACTTATCCAACGCTTTATAATTAAATAATAACGTGTTTAAAGAAGTGTCCAAAAGCCTGAATTGATGCAATGCTAATTTTCGAAAGCGGTAAAACACATTAATCGTTTAAAACCAGAAGAGAATTCGTTTATCTTTGCCGAGCAAGTATCTTGCAAGTACTTGCTTTTATTGGTGCTTGGAGATCTTAACACCAATGCAAAGATATTTAATATTTCATTCGTTTTTAAATGAGAGTAAAGAAGAGAAACATCACAAAGACACACACGCACGCAATTTTCAAAAAAGATTTTAAAGAATTTTAAAGAATGTGAAGAGTTCGATCACAAGTAAAATGTTTACAGAATGGAAACTTAGAAACTATAAAGTTCCTTAAATAGGTTCTTTGTGTGTATCGCAAACAATTTCTTTAAGATGAAAAGTTTTCAAAACATTGACGAAAAGTTCACGGTTTTTCATAACAGACATATAAATGATTTTTTGTTACCGTAATGCAAAGTAACGATTTAAAACTAAAGAAAATAGATTTTGGCGAATCAATCTTTTTAATGTGACTTTGTAATTAAAATTAGAAAATTACATTAAAAGAAAAGCTAAAATTGATACTACAATTATTAATTTTTTGTCAGTCACATTGCAAATTCCGCCATCTTATGAGCTGTTATTCCCAGGTCCACCTTGACCCGGGTTGGCAGCACCTGTTAGGGTTCAAGCTATGGGTTAACCTTCAGAGAAAAACAAAACACTATAAAAGTATACAAATACATTTTTATAGTAAAAATACCAGTAATACATTTTTATATATGAGGACTGATATTATGTAACAATTATTACATATTTCTTTGTTTCTAACTAAATTTTCCTGTTTCTTAATACTTTGCTTAGATTTTGCAAGGCATATTTCGTGTGAACTTCAAAAATATTGTCACTCATTTGATCCTGCACGAGATGTTTTATTTTTTCAAATCTACCCAAACTCATCCCATTACTTCGCTAAATATGTGGACCGTAGAATTATAGATTGCTTCTATGGGTAATTTTTTGTGATGAGATTTTTGGCAAAAAGATTTGAGCTGGTCAGTTTTTATCGGACCGTAAGTGATTGTAATAAAAGTATATGTGAACATTTAAATTATGTGTCGTAAAACCGTTTGATAAACTCTCATTAGTGACAACGGTTCATGCAAAAATGAGAGAAAAACGTAAAATAGGAAATGAATTCTTGCACGGAATTTTCTTTCACATATAATTTTAGAAATATAACGATGCTATTTTTTTTTCCATCAGCACTTTACATTTGTAAAAGGATATGCCAATATCTAAGACCATAAAGAATATGATTTTGCTTTTAATTAGTGGAATATATAAATTATGTCATGTTATGGGAGTCAAGCACAAAGATGTCTCGAGGAATTTCTTTGAATTCATTTTTATTTATGATTTTTGTTTTTGCTTTTTTCAGAATATCGTCTCTGAAATTTCATCTCACTTGGCAGGGAGTGCAGCTGAATGAATGAATGAATGAGTGAATAATAATAATAATAATAATAATAATAATAATAATAATAATAATAATAATGGGAACATCAACAATCCCTGTTGTAGTTGGAGCTCTAGGACTGGTTGGAAAAGATTCCAGTAGACTAATTGAGGGGATTCCTGGAAGCCCATGCCTCAAAGAAATACAAAAAATTGTTCTCACAAGCACAGCCCACACTTTACGAAGGGCTTTATCTGTGTTAATTTCTTTTTTTTTTTTTTTTTTTTTGTTGTCAGTGGAAAGTGTCATGATGCCATTTCTAACCTTAGGTCTCTTGGCGGGACTCGGAAAGGAATGTGTAAACGCCAGAAATCAAAGAAGATAATAATAATAATAATAATAATAATAATAATAATAATAATAATGAGAACATCAACAATCCCTGTTGTAGTTGGAGCCCTAGGAATGGTTGGATAAGATTCCAGTAGACTACTTGAAGGGATTCCTGGAAGCCCATACCTCAAAGAAATACAAAAAAAAATGTTCTCACAAGCACAGCCTACACTTTAAGTGCTTTATCTATGTAAAATATGTTTGTTTTTTGTTTTTTGGGGTTTTTTGGGGGGTTTTTTTTTGTCAGTGGAAAGTGTCATGATGCCATTTCTAACCTTAGGTCACTGGGCGGGACCCGGAAAAAAATGTGTAAACGCCAAAATCAAAGGAAATAATAATAATAATAATAATAATAATAATAATAATAATAATAATAATAATAAGGGCAGCAGGGAATTACTTAGACAGAGAAAAAAAAAGTAAATTGTACTCTGGAAACATGCAATCAACAAAATACATGATCACGCTTTCAGATCCATTACACTTTCTTTTCTTTTTTTTAAATATTTAATTTTCACAAAATAATAACGACATATTTAGCCAGGAAAAAAAGATTATTGAATATTACAAAAAAAATCATCAGTAAAAATTTTTTTATGGTTTCACTAAATCGATAAACGAAAAAAAAAACACTTTTTTAATGGCAGTAATGTTTTAAACCTTTTTTTTCTCCCCACTCCCACCAGGGATATGTTACAAGCCAATGATTTCTCGTCAGAACTCTCTTCCTGAAGGCATACGCAGGTGCAAAAAATGATTTTTAATGTGTGGCAGTATTGTTCTCGATAAATTATTAAAGAATCTATAAGAAATATCGAACGATCTATGCAGCTAATCGAGAATGTCAGTAACGATCAAGAGAAAAAAAAAATCATCCTCACTGACAGAAAGAAATGTGTTCATTTCATTATTGATTTTTACTTGATGAACACTACAAACATTAGTGATGCGCTCAAATTAAGATATTTCCAAATTTCGTTCGAAACAATTCATTTCTAATTGAAATAAGAATTTGAAAATGCATTTTCATATGAACGAATCGCTGCCGAAAAGTTCAGAAAATTTGATAGAAAAGCAATTACTTTTCTGAACACTTTGTTTTCATTGGAATTTTAGAAGTCGTCCTCTTAGGTAGCTGCGTACTCCTTAGCCGTGACACATGAAATCACTTTGGATTGAGTCAAAACTTGTAGATCTCTATAAAGTAGCAGGATGTAGCCAACGGAATCTTACTTTCCATATTGTCTGAACATGGTTTTTGAAAATGACGTAGAAATTCTAAAGTACTTGAACAAAACAACAGAACAAACATATACTTTGTACAATTTATTCACAAATTTCGATCCTGATAAGTAACATCTTTGAAAATTGGAACAGTAAAATAAAGCATTAAATAATCAGGCCTAATCAGTTAAATTTAATACGAATTTCTTTAATACGAATTTACTTGATTCCTAAATATTCGTTATCAGTGGCAATGATGTCTACATCAAGCTAATGCCTTACGAGTATGTTTGAGGTATTTCTGAGATATATATGTGGGAGATATTACTGCCGCACCATAGATAGATAGAGAGAAAGGGGGGAGAGAGTGAGAGCGAGAAGGAAAGAGAGAGAGTTTAATTCAAATATAAAATCAGTCCATTCGTCAGGAGATGCTGATTTCTCCTGATGGGTGGGCGAAAGCATTGAACAAAGGTTTGTCTACTAAACCCCGGATGAGAGGTGCTGAAGCTGAATTTGCCATCAATCAGCGAAGCGATAAAGTTTATATTTGTATTAACGCTCTATCTCTGATATAGGGCATTTTATTTTAAAGGTTACTTGCACTAAATGTCCTTTATTTCAAATATCCACTGACTGACAATATATATATATATATATATATATATATATATATATATATATATATATATATATGAAGAAATATAGTCTTAGGTGTGCTATATTTATGGTATATAGTGCTCAATATCAGAGATACAGCGTGTGTTAATATAAAAGTGAACATTGAAGTCAACACTTAGAGGCGACAGTCTGTTTCATGCTAGACGCAATCGTCACGCCTGACTTCAATGTTCACTTATATATATATATATATATATATATATATATATATATATATATATATATATATATGTGTGTGTGTAAAAGGAAGAACAGTAAGATATATAATCCGGTGTTCGTATTGATATTTTTTATTTTTATTTTTACAAAACAGTGCTAAATGTAAATTTACAGAGCATAAATATCATAAATTAACTGATTTAAAAATATGGTTTTTTGCTACACAGTAATAATTAAATTAAATCCATTAGTTCCGTTTCATCTTCAAGCCCATATTGGAATAACTTATTTTTAAATTTACTGAGTTTTAAGCGCACATATGAATTCATAATTTACTGTTTCCAAGGATACAAATCATTCAGACGGGGGCGGTAGCATGTTCATTTTTATTAACTATTGTTGTATCAATTATGAGTTACGCTCATGTTCTGTCCATCTGATGTCGCCGCTTGGTGTTAACCTCAGTATATAAATAAGCTGATCAGTTGTGCATTTATGAATAGTAATGTATGGTTACATACACCCTATCTTTGATATATATATATATGATAAAAATATAGTTTTATGTTATGTTATAATTATGCTAAATATATTGGTAAAATATCTAGGATAGAGCGTATGATGCAAATAAAAGGGGACAATGAGGTAAAAACCGATCGACGGACAACAATCTGTTTCATGCTTGAACGCAATATCCACTGACTGACAATGTATATATAAAGAAAAATAAGGACAAACATAGATAGATAGATAGAAATGAAAAGGCTGAAACAGATAGATAGATATGAAAAAGGCTGAGATAGATAGATAGATAGATAGATAGATAGATAGATAGATAGATATGAAAAAGGCTGAGATAGATAGATAGATAGATAGATAGATAGATAGATAGATAGATAGATATGAAAAAGGCTGAGATAGATAGATAGATAGATAGATAGATAGATAGATAGATAGATAGATAGAAATGAAAAGGCTGAAACAGATAGATATGAAAAGGGCTGAGATAGATAGATAGATAGATAGATAGATAGATAGATAGATAGATAGATAGATAGATAGATAGATAGATAGATAGATAGATGATATGAAAAGGCTAAAAGATAGATAGATAGATAGATAGATAGATGATAGATAGATAGATAGATTTGAAAAGGCTGAGATAGATAGATAGATAGATAGATAGATAGATGATAGATAGATAGATAGATAGATAGAAATGAAAGGCTGAAACAGAGATAGATAGATGATAGATAGATAGATAGATAGATAGATATGAAAAAAGGCTGAGATAGATAGATAGAGAGAAAATGGATGAAATAGATGGATATGAAAAGGCTGAGATAGATAGATAGATAGATATGAGATGGATAGACAGAGATAGATTGAAAAAAGGCTGAATAGATAGATAGATGAATAGATAGATGATAGATAGATAGATGAATGAATGATGAGATAGATTTGAAAAGGCTGACATAGATGATAGATATGAATAGATAGATAGATAGATAGATAGATAGATGGATAGAAAATGGCTGAGATAGAGATAGATAGATATAGATAGATGGATGGATAGATAGATGGAAATGATAGATGAAACAGATAGATATGAAAGGGGCTGGGATAGATAGATGATAGATAGATAGATAGATAGAGATAGATAGATAGATAGATGGATAGATGAAATGATATGCTGAGATAGCTGAGATGAATAGATAGATAGATAGATAGATAGATAGATAGATAGATATGAAAAGGCTGGATAGATAGATAGATAGAAAAGATGGATGGATGAATGGATGAAAAGATAGATAGATATAGAAAGATAGATAGATAGATAGATAGATAGGATAGATTTGAAAAGGCTAGATAGATAGACAGATAGATATGAAAATGATAGATAGATGAATGATAGATAGATGGATGAGATAGAGATAGATAGATAATGATAATGAACGGATAGATAGATTGAAATGGATGGATGGATGGATAAATGGATCGATGAAATAGATGGATGAATGAATTTCATCATGAGATGGATGGCATAGATAGAATAGATGGAAAGATAGATAATGGAAGATAGATAGATAGATGAAAAAAGGCTGAGATAGATGATAGATAGATAGATAGATAGATAGATGGAAATGAATGGATGAAAAGATATGGAAATGTGCTGATGGATAGATGAAACAGATAGATAATGAATGAATTTTGGATTTGAAAAAAAGGCTGAGATAGATAGATAGATAGGATGAATAGATGGATCGAAGGCTGAGATAGATGATAGATAGATGAATGAATGAAAAATTTGAAAAGGCGATGAATGAACAGATAGAGAAGGTAACGGAACCATGGATCCGATAGATTTTTCCGAAGAGATGGATATATCAAGACACAGGTCCGAAAAAGAAATCTGTGGAATGGGTGGACTTAAATGAACCAATTTCAATCTCTTGGATGAGATGGATGGATGTCTATTTTAAGGGCTGTTGGATGGATGGATATGAAATATTTATCGAAATCAAAGCGTGGATGGATGTGAAAAATATAGAAAATGGATGGATGGACATTTGGGAGACACGATATGAAGATGGAAGGGGCTGGGATGAGATAGATGAAGAAATTAAATTGGAAACAGATAGTAGAGGGATTTTTTGGATGGATGGATAGAAATCATCGATTGGCATTTTGAATGTTGTTTGAAAAAGGGCTGAGATAGATGATAGATTAATGGAACCGTTCTAGATGACATTAGACAGATAGAAAAGATTAGATAGATAGAAATACGAAATGTCATATATACGGAATGTCATATATAGATTTTTTTAAAGCTGAGATAGATAGATTTGAGATAGATAGAATAGAGGATGGGAAGCCACTGAGCATGCAAGGAGTAGATAGAGAGGATTAGAGCAAGATCAGATAGGAATGATAGAGGAAAGGATGAGGAGAAGGATAGATGGATAGATCAATTGAAAAAGGCTGAAACAATAGATAGGAGGTGTCGATTGAGATAGATACATTTGAATAGATGAAATTAAAGATAGATAGATAGATGAAATGGAAAGATAGGATTAAGGGAAACAATAGATAGAAGAGAGTAGATAGATAGATAGATAGATAGATGAAGATAGATAGATGAAGAAAATTGAAACAGATAGATAGAGGCGAAAAATGAGATGAATGAATAGATAACAGTTAGATAGAACAGTGAAAGGGTGTAGGATAGATAGATAGATGGATAGATAGATAGAATAAAATGAAGTAGATGGGAACCAGCGAATGCAGATCATCGGAGCAATAGATAGATAGAAGATGAAAGATAGATATGAAAAGATAGACAGAGAATATAGATAGATAGATGGCATGCTAGATGAGAAATGGACTGCAGACGACATGCCAGATTAGGGCCAATTATATTGCGATAGATATCCGTAGATGAAAGAAATCAGATGGATCTTATCAAGAACCCTAGATGGGGCAAACAGAAGAAAAGCTCCAGACCATATATGGTAGCAATAATAGATGAATAGAAAATATTTCAGTAAATACACTATAATTTCTCATTATGCTTCCATAGGCCCATCGTTCGAAGAAAAATCTCTGAAGTCATTGAATATCGTATAAGATTCTCACTGGATTCTTCATGAACTTGTTCCTGAGCGAAAGTTAACTTCAACAAATATTATATCTGTACTATTCATCGATGTTCGTGATGATTAGGAAATATGGCGCTGTCATTTCTCATTTGGCTATCAATGTTTGTGTCAATCAATATGCAAGTGTATGTGTATGGGTCTCTTTGTAAATGTGTATTTACTAAGTTGTCTTTCTCAAGGTAACTCCGTGGCGATTTTCTCATAATAAACCAACGCGCATTGTGAGTCGGTGAAGCGCGCCAATACCACGTGACCTGACTTGACCTTGACTGACCGCAATGATCCCGAATGATGTCCGGACGCTCCGTCTCCGAAATCCCTTGACTATCTTGACCACTACTACTACTATTGTCACCAGATACTTTCTGCTCTTTTGTCATCTTTCTTTTCTATGTTTCTCTTCATTGATTTTATTATTCTTTTCTTTTTTTCTTTTTTATATTTCTATTTCGATGTTCGTGATGATTTTCTTTCATTTTCATTTTTTCAATGTTTTTCTTGGGATGTGTATGGGTCTCTTTTTTTTTTTTTTTTTTTTTTTTTTCTTTCTTTTTTTTCGTTTTTCTTTTCCCGAATGATTTTTCTTCCCTTGACTATTTTTTATCTTTTTTTTTTTTTTTCTTTTTTTTTTTCTTTCTTTTTTTTTTTTTTCTTTCTTTTTTCTTTTTTCTTTTGGATGTTTTATTATTTTATTATCTTTTTTTTTTTTTTTTTTTCTTTCTTTATTTTTCTTTCTTTCTTTCTTTTCTATGTTTTTCTTGGGATTTTATTATCTTTTTCTTTTTTCTTTTTTTCTTTCTTTATTTTTCTTTCTTTCTTTTCTATGTTTCTCTTGGGATTTTATTATCTTTTTCTTTTTTCTTCTTTCTTTCTTTCTTTCTTTTTTTTTCTTTCTTTCTTTCTTTTCTATGTTTTTCCTTGGGATTTTATTATCTTTTTCTTTCTTGGGATTTTTCTTTTTCTTTTTTTTTTCTTTCTTTCTTTCTTCTATTTTTGAATTCATTGTCTTATTAGCTTCATTCTTCCCTTACTTATTTTTTTGTCTTTTCTTCTTTTTTCCCATTTTTTTTCCC